AAAAATGCGTGGAAATTTTTACGGCCCAAGAAGACGACCCGATGATGAGTAGCGAAGAAAAGTTTAGATTTAAATTTAAACATGTTTCGAATGCTGCTTTTTGTAACTTGGCACATGGGCATGGGCAGCAGTAGCAACAGCAGCAGTTGACGATGTCGATGATGCTGGGGGGCTCGTTTCTGTTTCTCATTTTGCGCTTATTATTTTTGTTTTGACGAACCACAGCCACCACGCAACAACAACGCTGCAACAGTGTTTCAGGCACCCATTGGCTGATAGACGCCGGGTTTAGCCTTTCTTTCATAAATGCGGTGAAACAGCATGAAAACTAGCCAAAGGGTAGCAACCAATTAAGAATTAAGAGATAAAAGTGTGTCTATTTCGTTAACTCTCTGGTAGTTTATCCCCTCGAGAGCAGAAACGATTAACGCTGAGGAAACACACTGTCATGGCTTTGAGGACTGAAAGAAGAAAAAAAGCAGCTGCGAAAGCCGAGCTATGTTGGAGACACGGATTATTTCTAACGTTTTAACACGAACCCTTTGGGTGGTATGAAAGAATGTTGGTAGATTTGCATCAGAAATGATTTTTGATGGATTTTGACATGTGTTATTGGAAGGACGTTCGAAGCCTGGGATGCTTCTGGTGTACAGTATTCTCACGATCCTCAATTAAGTACTTGACCGTCGCGACGGCAGCCGTCGCGTCGTCGCTGCCTATTTCTAGGGCACTCTTCACTTGTCAAGTATGCAGAACCATTATTTGCCGTCGACCAGAGTGCGCATTGTGTGAGCGTAAAGCATGTTTACATACAAACAACGTCGGCTGGTTTCATAACATCGAGAATTATTAACATGACCGTTGATCCTGTATCAACAGAGCCACTTAATTACAGAGTTCACCGGGCAAGCCTCAGTCAGTGTCGGGGCGATGATCCGTTGATGGATTTCAACGAGCCGCACGTGGCCAAGTAGGTACGAATATCCGATCACGTGGAAAAACCGCCCGTTATTTCATTACAGGCAGAAAAAAGCGAACTAACTGGGCCACAAATCGAAAAAGTGAAACATACACCTCGCAACTTCTTGACGGGGTTATGTTATTATGTTTCATCTCGGTGGTGTGCCACGTGCCGCGCGCAGACGGTACAAGAGGTGGTTTTCCGTGCCTACCTACGCAGGATGGTTCCAGCTTTTTGTGTCGAAACCGACGAGATATCGGAGCATCTAAGGGGTGAGATGGTGAAAATAATAATCACTAAACATCAAAATTCAATAAGAGAGCGTGTTGTATCATCATCATCATCATCTTTGTGTCGGTCCGGACTGGCAAGTGCAGGGTAGATACAGAATGACTTAGTGCTCGTAAAAAAGCGAGCATGCAAAAAGAGGCGAAAAAGTGGGCTGGAAATTGAGGAGTGTGATTTGGTTTTTGAGGAGATTTTTTTTTTTCGTGGCTAAGTGGGAACTCAAGTTTCGGTTTTTGCGAATGATCCTTTGGATAATGTGTTGTTCTTTTGAAGCTTAGCTTAGCTTAGCTTAGTCTGACTGCACGTATCGATAGTTGCACTCCGTGATTGATCTGAACCAGTGAAATTGTACAACGAATCAACTGAATGGGGCTTGGTAGTAACCTGCCATTCTCAGTGTACATGTTCCAGTGACTCCTACCTTTAAAGATCAATAACGTCACCGGCCACGTCCTTGCAATCAGGTGGGAGAGGGAAGGAATGTTAGTGTGTGACTTTTGTTGTTTTGGGACCGTGTTTACCTCTGCATCCCACAAAAGTCACAGGAAGGAGGTTTTGTTAGTGGGTTAGGTTCGTTGGATCAGGATTCACCTTGATAAGTGATGCGATCTTTTGTTTTGTGTAGTTATTTATAAGTGTTTTCGATTTATGCTCTAAACAGCCGGCTGTCTAGAGATGTAGATCATTATTAGATGTGTGTATACCGATTTAAACCAACAATAAGGATACTGTTGGGGCCCCTCACAAAGTGTGATGATGGTTTATTTTATTTTATCAATGACCAAAATAATTAATTATAAGCGGTTTGAACCGATTTAAACCAACAGCAAGGATGCTGTTGGGGCCACTCACAAAGTGTGATGGTGGTTTACTTGATTGAATATAAAATAATTATTAGAACCGATTTGACCCGATTTAGACCAACGGCAAGGATACTGTTGGGGCCACTCACAAAGTGTGATGGTGGTTTATTTAGTTCGGAAGAAAATGAATATGTATACTTCTTTTTTTTTTTTATATAATAGAACGAATTTGTACTGATTCAAACCAAAAGCAAGGGTTCTATTGGGGCAACTCACAAAGTGCGATGGTGGTTTATACTATAAGGGCATAAAACAAAATCAAGAGCCATTTCGGTTTCCATAGCTTCCTAGACACTCGGCCGCAAAATAATCTTATCCGACGGAAACGTCTCGATCATTGCTGCACAATGGTTTATTATAGCATTTATAAAGTAAATTTGAATACCTTATTGTTTATTTATTATCCATTTTGACTTGACTTGGTACCGTTCAGTTTTATGATGACAAAGTTGCCTGGAGAAAAGTGACAGTTCAAAATGTTTCGGAAGGGAGTCAGCTAGTGTCGTCCAAGTTCAAGTGCGGAAAAAATGCCATTTAAAGTGGTACAAACAATTGAAAGATGCGAAACATGCCTAACCGTAATTCTTTCTGGTTGGAAAGAAGCTGGAATCCTACACTGGCCGGAAAAAAAACGCGGTAGCGAAACTCTCTCAAGACGAGTTCTCCATGCCAAACCCAATGTGGGAACGTATCAATTGAGTGAAAAAAAGAGAGTTCAAGACTCGCTTGGAGGCTGAAGCAGAATTGGAACAGATGTAGCCAGTTTCGGATACGGAGGCGAACGAAGGGAATAATCCACCACCGTCAAAGAAAGTTTGCCCCGAAGTCTACAAGTCCCCCAGTCGGAAGGGAAACACAATAAGAGACTTTAACGAAGTTTTCCTTATTCCTGGGCAGGAGGTTGACACCTGTGAAGCTGACTGTAAAATCCAGAATCAGATGAGATTATAATATATGCGACACAAATTCACTTTTTTATAGGGGAACATGTGATGTGAATAGAACCCACCATCAGTGCAAGGATTACATATGACTGCAGATACTTCACTGGTTGTAAAGTTCTGCCTGATGGTTTGTTGCAGCTGGGTGAATCAACTTCATTGAAGACCTTTGGAAGACAAACGACAAGATGTACGTCTATCAACACGTGACAAGGGACTGGCAAATCCACGAACACTTGTCCAGTCTACAAATCCATTGAAACCCTTAGGCTGCCCCCCCCAAACCCAACATATAATAATGTTTGATTGATGAAACGTATTCAAAAAAGGGATATTTAGAGAGAACAATCTTCAACTGGAACGTACTCACCAAATCAATACATCCGGGAGCGCATTCTCGATGCTTAATTTTCTCTAGTCATTTTTAAACAACTCCTCCTCCAGCGAATCCAAACACACAATAACTAAATATCACTTTCCTTCTTCATGTCACTCTGTGCACAAAAGCAATGCACACCGCAAAAACCTAATAATAGATCAGCGCGGTCGAGTCACACTGTCAACAAAGGGAGCGAGAGCACACCAGGCACCAAAGCAACAGGGGAAAAACATCAGCACAAATCATTCTAAATAGAATCATCGCGTCCGGGACACAAAACTATTCAAATGCGAGCACCGAAAAACTACACGGCAGCACAAAGATAGCCCGAGCTCTAAAAAAAAAGCACGCAGCGGAGCAAAAACACACAACCGTTCTCGGACGCTTCTCAAAGCGGACTCGATAATGTGTTGTTCTTTTGAAAGATATTAAGGGTTTTGTAATACATTCATCTTGATGTAAAACCAAAGAAAGAACTATTTAATCTTACTTCCTACATCAACCACTTGGAAATGTGACTTTCTAGAACGGTGTATACTGGGTGATTCTGTATGACGAAATTATACAATATCTATGCGTTTACTATCCTGGATCAGTTTATCATCAGGCTTCATCATTTTTGAAATAAATATTAAAAAAGTACAATGGACAGTAGGGTGTCCCAAAATTGCACTATGTCTTGAAATCTGGGGGCTTTACCTCCAAATGATAGCTAAGTGTGTTACAAACAAACTTTTGTATGGTGACAACTCTGTGAAATGTTGTTTAGAGGTCGCCCCGACGATATTTAAAAAAAAGTCCATTTTTCATAGCTTTTATCCAATAAATATTTTTAGTTCTTTAAATTTCAGTGACATCTCACCCTTTTATATTTTTCGAAGATTTCCAAGGGTCAAAACTATAAGAGAAAAATTGCTACGGCATGTTCTGTGTCCAATTTGTTAGTTACAATTTTTCAAATTCACTAAAATGATGTTTTTTGTTGTACATCACTGCATTCAATCATCAAAAGTGGGTATCAAAAATAGCGTTATTATCAATCAAATGCAGCAGAAATATGGGAAATTGTATAAGAAAAAACTTTGCCCAAAACACTTTAAACTGATTGTGAACCGTTAAAAAGTTATTTGTGATTTACTGTGGAAAGAAAAGTTCAGAATTTCAATACATGCAGTACCGTGCCGATTCAAATTTCGGACACTTAAACTCGAATTTCGGACACTTTTAAAAGTTGATTATCTCGGTTGAATATGATCCACATGTCTTGTAAATTTTAAATTTTTTTGACTAGTGCCCTCCACGATCATCTAACATTATTACTTTGTTTCTAACTGGATGTTATATTTAATTAAAAATGAAAGTGTCCGAAATTTGAATCGGAACGGTATGTCGATAAATACTACAAATCACCTACTTTGTTGCAAATCACTTGATAACATTTGTTTCGAAGTTTCTAGAATTCAATAGGAAGATATATGAGCGGAGAGGGATCACACAATTTATTAGTTTCCATTTGATTGCCGTAGCAAGCTGAATCAAAAACGAAAATCAGGTCACCAAAAACCAAGCTCAAGTCGGATCTCATCACCGGTATTGCGAGGAAGCATTTGCCCAGAAACCGTTTGTCGTAGGAGTTGGACATCATCAGGTACTTTCAATTCAAGCATGAAACCCAACAACTTTCAATCGGACAAAGTATTCAAGTTGTGGCTACCGAAGCTGCTTGCACATCAATGGTACACTGCTTGAGAAGCTTTTCGGAAACTCAACCGGAACTTTGTTTGTCACCTGCTGTCTCCAGAATTCTGCACGGACAGTATCGTTTCGTAGCTCTTCATCGATGTGGTTTACGCTTATGTTGAAGAAGTAACTCAACCGCATCCTACACATCTCCAAAGCTGGCAACAGCTCTGATTTTTCTTCTTGAAGGCCTTACTTTGGCGTTGCCATGTCACAACGAGCTTGGCAACCCTCCTAACAACGTTTCGCTTGAGCTGATGCGAAAGTCCGGCTTGATTCCAAATCTCCACAGCTTCGGTAGCCACAACTTGAATGCTTTGTCCGATTGAAAGTTGTTGGGTTTCATGCTTGAATCGAAAGTACCTGATGATGTCCAACTCCGACGACAAACGGTTTCTGGGCAAATGCTTCCTCGCAATACCGGTGATGAGATCCGACTTGAGCTTGGTTTTTGGTGACCTGATTTTCGTTTTTGGTTCAGCTTGCTACGGCAATCAAATGGAAACTAATAAATTGTGTGATCCCTCTTCGCTCATATAGGGTTACGGTATGTAATGTGGGTCTAGTCCTTTCATTCGGCCTATCACGCAAATAAATAATTAATTAAGGAATATTACACAAAAAATAAGGAAAATATTGATCACTGATGATTGATAAATGTGTACCACACACAAATCAATTTATATCACAACATTTCAATACATTTTCAGCTCTCGTAAGTAATAAAACTGGTTGAGAATATCACTCTGTTCGGAGTTTTTAGCCGCCATGACTTCTAAGGTTAAGATGGGAAGGTTGCACTGACGATCATCAAATGGCCTGATTATGGCATTTATTGAATGGAATTACCTGATAATACACACTAGACGTAAAACTCACAGTTACTGTTTGAATATTTTATGTTTATTTTAATTGTTTAACAACGTTTTCACAAGTAAATCATGGACCCAACTTTAGGGACACATTTCTTTTCTATGTTCCTAACTTTGGCCCATGAAATTCATTTGACAGCATATAGCAATAAGAGTAACGTCAACAATGTGGTTTGCATTTGGATGATAAGGAACGAACAGGAAGGGAGATTTTTTCTGCCAAATCTGTATAATGAACATCACAATGTTTTGATTTAGATATTCTGCGGTCGAAAGACGATAAGCGAAATTTTTAATTTTTAATTTTTAACTTGAGTGATTTAATGTAGTTTTCGTAAAATTTTCTCTAAGAAATGTTTTGAGGAATGAAGAGTATTAAGTTAACAGTGATAGTGATAAAAAAAAATACATAAGAAAACGTTACCAAGAGCGTTTTTTTTGAGAATCAAACAGGATAGGACGAAGTTGCATCCATAAATAGACCCAATTTGGGGACAATAGACCGATGTTACATACATTTCCCTGGTGAGTTTTTGTCTTAAAAAAAGTAAGTTTTTCAACTTTTTGCGGTTCCTGATAGCAAACGACATGATAAGCATATCTAAGCATACCATTTAGCAGTAGAATATCGTTTGCAGGTAAATTAATTGATGAGTTATGATTAAAAACGTAATCTATGGCTGCATATTAGACCGAGGTTAGGGACGTATACCCTATCTTCCGATTGAATTCTAGAAACTTCGAAACAAATGTTATCAAGTGATTTGCAACAAAGTAGGTGATTTGTAGTATTTATCGACATACTGCATGTATTGAAATTCTGAACTTTTCTTTCCACGGTAAATCACAAATAACTTTTTAACGGTTAAAAATGAGGTTAAAGTGTTTTCCCAAAGTTTTTGCTTATAAAATTTCCCATATTTCTGTTGCATTTGATTGATAATAGCGCTATTTTTGATACCCACTTTTGATGATTGAATGCAGTGATGTACAACAAAAAACATCATTTTAGAGAATTTGAAAAATTGTAACTAACAAATTGGACACAGAACATGCCGTAGCAATTTTTTCTCTTAGAGTTTTGACCCTTGGGAATCTTCGAAAAATATAAAAGGGTGAGATTTCACTGAAATTTAAAGAACTAAAAATCATTCCGTCTCGCACGCTGAGCCGGTCAAGTCGCATCGGTCTCGTTGTACGACACTAGTATTTGAGTTTTTGAGTTTTTCCCCACGCGAGGGTTTTTTCTCGCCAAAGTTAGTTGGCATAGTGTTAAGACAACTAGTGCGCGAGTGAGGAAGCCGTCAGTCACTGCCCCCGAAAACCTCTGCGCTCCCCCGCCTAAAGGCTTACCCAGAAGCCTCGAAAGGCCCATGGGTTGTTTTTTCCGGCCCAAACAAAAACCTTTGAACATTCCGAGGATCTCTAAGGATCTAACAACACATTTTTCGGCCGTTACCGATATTTTCAAGGTAACACCAATAAAACTGCGCGTTACCGTTGATGACCGGAAGCAGGCTAACCAAATTGTTGCGTGCGAGCTTTTTTCATTGGAATACCGAGTCTACATACCCAGAATTGAAGGAGTGGTCACCGAAGCGAGTTTGACTAGTGATGATTTCTTGGGTCCCGATTCCTTCGGAATCTTTAAAAACCGTGCTCTGCCGAAGGTGAAGATATTGGACTGCCTTCAAATGCAGTCAGTATCGGTAGTAGGCTCCAAAAAAACTTATTCCTTGTCAAACTCGTTTCGTGTGACCTTTTCGGGTTCAGCGTTACCTCACTACGTCGCTATTGGCAAGGTTCGGCTGCCTGTACGTCTGTTTGTACCTCGGGTAATGAACTGCTCGAAATGTAAACAACTTGGTCATACATTTTTTTTTTTTTTTTTTCATTATAGTCATTTTAACACTATTGGGTCATTCGTGACTTGTCCGGTGTGAGATTTGAACTCGTGACTTTGGTGTGAGAGGTATGAATGTTAACCACTACGCCGGGGTCGCCCCTTGGTCATACATCGGACTACTGCTCGAACAAACCACGCTGCGATCAGTGTGGCGAGCAACATCAAGAGGGCCCTTGCGGTGCTCCTCCAAAATGCGTGTACTGCAAGGAAAGCCTGCATACCCTGACTGACTGCCCGAGGTACAAACAGCAAGGAGAAAAACTTAAGCGGTCTCTGCAAGCTCGCTCCAAGAGAACACTAGCAGAACTCTTGAAGAATACCGCTTCATCTTCTCATACCACACCAAAAAGCAGTAACACGTTCTCCATTTTGCCAGTTGATGATCTAGACTCTGACTCAGAGGTCGGTGAGGGTAGTCCGTTTGTCTTTAAAGGCAATACGAGAAATCGAGCAAAAAAACACACCACCGAAAAACCTCGTAAGGCCACTCGTACGGACCACCCTTCCACCTTGGAAAATCAAGAGGTAACGGAAATGCACCGAAACCCATTCCACCGGGTTTTAAACCTTGTAATTAAAACAAGAACTTTCCGTCACTTCCAGGATCATCTAAAACCCCAGATGTCCCAGTTTTTTGGCCAGAAAAGCAGCTGAATAATCAGCAAGAACATGCCCCCATGTTCACGTTTTCTGGTATGTATTGTGGATAGTTTCTTCAGTATATTCAATATCTCTGACTCAACGAGGAGCATTATTAATTTAGTGCTGCCAATGGTGAAAACTCTTTTGAAGCAACTAGCTTCTAGGTGGTCCTTCCTTGCATCGATCATATCCTTTGATGGATAATTCTCCGAATGAGGTCGGGGATATGATCTCTGTTCTTCAGTGGAACTGTAGAAGTCTTATGCCAAAACTTGACACATTTAAATTTTTAGTTAACATCTCACTTTCTGATGCATTTGCCCTTTGTGAAACATGGGGCAACATTATTCGCCTTGATCGCGCAGATTCGTATGGAGGGGTGCTTCTGGGGATAAACAAGCTCCATTCCTTCTACAGAATCGATCTGCCTTCGGTGACAGGCATTGAAGTAGTTGCATGTCAGGTTAATATTCGAGGTAAATGCCTCAGTATTGCCTCAGTATATCTTCCACCGAGAACCGCGATCTCTCGTCAAAGTTTCTCGGATCTCTGCACGGCTATGCCGGAGCCACGGTTGATCTTGGTCAACCTTGATATACGACATGTGCGACTTCTTCAAAATGACAATTCTGAACACCGGGGAAGCAACACGAGTAGCCAAACCTCCTGCAAAAATAAGCAGATTAGACCTCTCACTTTGTTCGAGTTCACAATCGTTGGATTGTTCGTGGAAAGTAATTCAAGATCCCTACGGTAGTGACCATTTGCCAATCAACATTTCTATTACCAATGGTTCATCTTCCACTCGCTCGGTCGACATCGCGTACGAAAAACATTGACTGGCGAAAATTCGCGACCGCGGTTCTTGATGCCAGTCAATCGGTTGACGTACTTCCTCCGCTGGACGAGTACTCCTTTCTCGCGCGTGTCATCATCGATTGTGCGCTGCGAGCACAGACGAAACGTGTTCCGGGTGTTTCCGTCCGCAAGCGGCCTCCCACCCCGTGGTGGGATAAGGATTGCACCAACGCGAACAGCGAGAGGTCCGCCGCGTTTAAACGCTTCCGCAAACACGGTAAGGCCGGGGATTTCGAGCGGTACACCGACCTCGAGAAAACCTTTAAGGACTTAATTAAAGCAAAAAACGCGGTTACTGGCGTCGGTTCGTCGATGGTTTGTCGCGAGAGACTTCCATGAGAACACTCTGGAATGTCGGCAGGAGAATGCGAAACGCGTCATCACCGATTAATGAAGACAAGGAGTACTCGGACAGATGGATTTTCAGCTTCGCGCGGAAAGTTTGCCCGGATTCGGGCCGGATTCGAGACCGGTCCAAACCAACGTTCGTGATCGTCCGTCGGGTAATAACGAAATAGATTCCCCGTTTACGATGGTGGAATTCTCACTTGCTCTCCTTTCATGTAACAACTCAGCTCCAGGAATGGATAGAATCAAGTTCAACTTGCTC